AAGCTTTCCGAGTATCACGTAACTTCCTGTGTGAAATTTGCCGAGAGGATCCTCACAGATCCGGACCACCCATTGCATGCAGAACTTAGTCATTCCCATCATTCAACACGCTCCCAATTCCGCCAAATTTCATCTCGAATTANAAGAGCGAAAAATAAGTGAACTTTGTCTTAACCTTGGATTATGAATGTCCCCATGCCTGCGAAAACTTTTCTCCCCGTTGAATATGTACATTGTGACGGTTAGTGTGTATGATTTTTTAACTGAAATGTGAGCTCCAGTGCTTGCAAAAGTTATACACAATACAATAAGATAGTTTCATCAAAGTAAACACATAAAAGAGGTGGTTGGAATTAGTAATTGATAGACAAGCGCTGGAACTGGTATTCGATTGCAATAGGCGTATATAAAAGGAGATTGAAACCGGCTAAATTTCTTGTTGAGGTAAAAAAACAGAGCATTTTTGAATATCGAGGAAATCTTTCTGCGAATTTGCTGTTGTAGTTCATACCGGGGATGCTGAATGAGATGACTCATGAGTGGTCGCTGCTGGCCCGGGGGACGTGTGTTCCGAATTTCATCCGCCCCTCCCCCAGCCTGACTTTCCCCATTCTGTATTGTATGACAGCCCTTTGATTGATCGCTTCTCCTTCTAGAAATTTCAAGTGAGTACTTTTATTCTTGGCTGTTCGTATCAATAAATGGCATTATATCCAAAGTTTTACATCCGAAGACCTTGGGACACTTACGGATGGAGATGGATTTGTCCTAGGCGTCCGTTGTATCATCTAACACTTGGAAGATGAATAAAATGACTGATTTCTTTTCTCTGTTGATGTAGTTAAACTACATGTTCATATTTTAGCATCATTTTTGGTAACTCGTTTTTTTTGTTTCTTCCTTTTGACATGAAGTCTCTGTCCGATCATCAACAAGGCACAGAATTCATCGACTACTCAAACTGAATGAATTAATGCATCGTTCATTCCGGGAGTGGAAAGAATCTGAGAAGCTGGCTCAGACCGTTCCTCAACTACCGAGTTGCTTACCTACCGGAAACGCTCCATCTGAATTCTCAGGCTCCATTTTTGATGTCAAGTCAGGTCCGACAGTTGACTACATTATTTGCCACGCGGCCGGTGGCATTCATCCGAGTGGCCATTACACTGACATTGTTACATTACTCTGCTTCATAGATGGTGTCGTTAGGATGCACAAAGCGATTTTAGAATACCTCAAACTCAGACGAGCAGCAGATAATAACTGCAGCTCTGAAGTGCCGCGCACACATTGGTCGACCGGGAGCAATGGTTGTCCACCAACCAACACTAACTCTGTACTTGTTCCGTCAACCGGTTCGCATGTCAATCATTCGCAGGGAAAACCTCCAAGACCCGATGATCGGTTACATTTGGGACAACACAGTCCAATGGAGACAAAAAGCCTAGCTAACTCTGTCTTGGTACCATCTATCGTCGAACCTGCCGAGCAAATGTTCACTGAAAAGCCGAAGAAAGTCGGGACTGTAACTTTTGATAAAAACGTCAAACAAGTTAAGCGGAAAAGACTTTTGGAGACCGATGATCCGAAACTTTGGGAAAACAGTATGCCAACGACAAGAGTTTCTTCGGTGGCCAAAGTTCAAGAACCTGTACAGCAGTGGCCTGCATCTGAGCAATACCAATCGTCAAATCCACTGCAAATTCCTTCAAGAAAAGTTGTGAAGTCGTCAGATAAATTGAGTAGAGAGTTAAACGCGGAAGATTTTTCGAGAGAAACCTTAAATGATAAATCGAACCAACGTTTACAGTCAAATGATTCAACTAAGCGCGTGCAAAATGTGCTTGTTTCTCGCAATTCACGCGATTTGCCATCGGTAGATAGTGTGACTGGACGTCGGAACATCATATCGAACGAGCCGGAGGCACTGATCGACACCAATTCCCCGAATTACACAGCCTCCACACCTTCCCCACCTCCTATTCGTCGAAGAAGTAAAAGTTTGGCACCCAGCTGTTCAGACGCACACCTCTTACATGACCGAAGCACCGTGTTCACGGGAAAAAGCTCCGAATCCATTAGTGGTAAGCGTAAAGCTCGTACTAATGCAGTCTTCGTCAATGATTGTTTAGAGGAGACTACTTACAAACCCAAGCGCGTACGTCCCGCTGGTAGTGAAAATAATCACTATCATAATCAGGGAGGATCAAGTTCACCCTCACCTGATCCATCCCCATTTCCGTCCTATCAACCCTCTGACCCCGATGAAATCGACAAAGCGCGATTGCGTCGGTGCGCTTCTGTCGGTCGTAGTCTGGGAACTGCAGCTAAGGCTAGTCCGTCTATCCCCATCGGTTATTGTGACGCGCAGTCACATCCAAATCCCTCCGCAAGGACACACTCAGAGAAGAACCAAAGGAATCCGAACAGAGATTTTTCACCCCGTCAATCAAATACAACTTATCCCCATCAAAAAGACACGTTGAAGGCTACATCTTTTCGTCGACGTGATCCATCCCTCAGTTCCGAGGCCTCTACCGTTCAACCGCGTCAGTCTTTCAAAGGATCGAGTAAGAAATATCATGAATCACGGAGACAATGATAAAAATGGGAATATCTAGCTTTGGTCATAGGCTCGTGTGTACCTAGACCCCCGTTATTTTCCTTCTGCTGCTACTAATAACAACGGTCTTTCACCGCAAACAAGTGAAGGCATGCCTCTCAATGTTATCGGCATTCTCACTTGGTCATGAGTCGGGCAGTTTTAAGCCCTGTTTCTTTTGATACTCGTACTCTTCTTTTTCGATGAACTCAATCGTGTTATTATTTTTTGAATGAACGACTCTTGTGTTCACCGCTTCCCTTGCTCTAACTTTTCGTGTTTAACGTTCAATTATTTGCCCCCATCCTCACTCAGTTGATTTCCCCTCATCGTGTACAGTGTTCCAGCGTGTTGTAACTAAAACAATTTTCATTCGTCTTGATCCCATTTACGAGATCCTAACATCACACCTTCGAATAACTTGTAAAGTACTATGTGATTCCTCCAAGTTCTGTTCCAAATGAGAATGAAACAGTAAACTAGCCGTGTATCATATTCTTCAGTTAGACTATTTTATCCTAAAAATGTAAACAACTCATGGGATTGTCCTAAACGCTGCCTTATTTTTGTTCAATTATCAGGAATCAATTTTTGTCCACAGTAACTCTTACTGATCACTTTGTGGCTCTGGCTTGCCAGATCTCGTTGCTTATTGCAGCCCTCGAAATAGATGTTTGCACGAAACTAAACCAAGCGATCCGGGCTAGTTTTCCAAATTATGGTTCCAATGTCCATCTGTGTTACTCTCCTGCTTCCAATGCAGTCGATTTCGACTACAATTCAATATGGTTCTCCATTGCACTCGTTCTTATGACCATGCGTCGTGATAGCACTAATTGTGTACCAGTGTGAACTGGGCGTTGACGAGTTTTGTAAATTGTCCGATTGAACAGTTTACGGATATTGCCAAGCAATTCACCAGGTGTCCTTGCTTGGTACCTCATCGAACTCCCATGGCCACAGTGTTGTCACATCATTCAGTGCCGATGGTTTGATAATCTCTATTGTAACATTGAGCGCTGTCAAAGCAGTTTGGGAAACAGATTGTCGGCGTTTCGCTCCGTGACTAATGTGGTGTAAAAATTCACTTCCCAAGCTCATTGTTTAAGTAGATTCAAGTTGGTCTTAAGCGTATCGGTTTCAGTAGTTCTCCTAACTGTTCCTAAGGCGTAAATTTATCTGGTATCTCGCAAGTGGATGATAATTCAACAGGCATCCGCTTTGCCATCTGAGCAAACGGTTTCGATAATGACCCTTTCCATTAGAAGTACCGTAAAAATTTAAGGTACCTTGTGCGACCATTTGCCTTCCTTCCCGGGGCGTTTGATACTTTCCGTGAAATTCTGTTATGTACTGATATTTGCAGTTTTCCGTGATGCACTATTCGACCTATCCGGTTTAATAATAATAAGAAGCCCTGTCTGATGTGGGAACTGTGATTGCACGTTATTCGGAACCTTGACTGTTTTGAGTAACAATGGTGACATTGTTTTGCCTTCAGCTTGCAGTTACTCGTGAGTAGTGCAGCTGCATAAATACCAT